AGCTGGGCCTGCAGTTTGTTGACACAACATTTTGTCAGCTGTGCAGGAAAACTGAAGGCAGCAGGGCCAAAATGGATCTAGACAGTCTGGAAGGTCTATCATGCTAAGAGCCTGTGTATGGTTATACCAGAAAGTCTCCAGCCATACCAAACTGTAATACAGACTCTTTTCTTTTTGAGGGGGGGGGGAAAGGACATGATAAGAACAGCAGGTGAGGAATGGGTACAAAGTCCCACTGTAGTCACTGTGGCTGAGCACAGAGAGCAACAGACAACAAAATCTCTCCCTTGGTGTCATGGATGGGCACACCAGATGAGCACAAGGAACCTGAATTCAGAGGACCAGCAGCATTAAAGCAAATGAAAAACATTTCGTAAGTCTGTTAAAGCCAAAGGAATAAGGTATTGCTCCCAGCCTAGGTGAAAATGATAGGGCTGACAGTAACTAAACAGAGTTGGAGAAAGCATTTCAGTCAGTATTCCTATTCTCTATTTGGCAGACTGTGCAGATGCTTCTCAGGTGGCGGTGAAATCCTTCTTGAGTCAGAAGTAACTCAGAAACCTATTTGAGAGCAATTGCAGAGAATAAATAAAATCATCAGATCTGAACAACTAACATTCCAAGTTTTCAAAAGATCTGGTCAAGAAAACAGTCAAGCTGTTCAGCCTGATTTTAAGCAAGTCTAAGATAAATCAGTTACTGCAGTACTGATTCTGAGTTGAAGCAACAGAATACTAGGAAATAAGTCAGTAAGAATTAAGACAGGAATATGTAAATAGCATCAATATATAATAGAGTAGAAGTCTTGATAAAAATAATTGTTCCTATCTGTTAATGATGAACTGAGTAGTCAAGAAACTGCTATTTCTTGTTAAGAAATAAAATCTCAAGCAGTATCCATCTTAAGTATACTGCAAGGTGGATCCCCATTTACAGGACCATGAGTGCTACTCTACTTCAAGGGAGTACTGAATGAAGACTATAAGGAAATCACAGTGGTTTGTGAGCACACTGTGAAGCTGGGGTGGCAAATTCATGCCATTGCATGAAAGAACAGTGAACGTTTTTCGGACAAGCAGAAAAATACTGTGTAGAATTAGAAAATTTTTGCTGAAAGGTGTTTAGAGAAAAGCCCTTTGCTCTTTAACGGTGGCTAAAATTATTCATCAAATTTGGCAAATATTTTTAGTTAACTGAGTTGAAGTTTGAGTGAGAAGGACAAGAAAAAAAAAATCACTAAGTCAAAATGTCACGCGTTGATATTTTCAAAATGGAAATGTTTTTCTTCCAAGCTAACACTTATGTTTCAAAAGTAAGCTATGGTTAAAAGCATTGGCTGGTAGGAAAATTCAATAAAACATTGTCTTTTAGATAAAATTAAACATTTCAGTTAATCCAAAACTATTTTCCACCCAATTTTTCAGTTTCTCATGAAAAGAAAATCCACTATTTGCAACATTTCCATACACACCAACTGACTGTAACTGTAATCCAGGGAATATACTTAAAGAAAGCCCTGAAAAAAATGGATTAACTTCTGCCAAGATCCATGGAATTGTTTAAAGGACAAGGAAGCATTCTCTATAAGAACTCCAAGTCCATTTAGACAAGGAAAGCTGAGGAGGAAACTTACTGCTGCCTATATATGTATATCTATACGGTCTAGTTAACAAAAAGTATAACAATCTACTCTCTAGAATTTGAAATCGTGCAAGTTCTGACCATAATTACAGCCTATACTGTTAAGAGTGGAGTTAGTTAAACTTGAGTGACTTACAAACATTGTGTTCAGTCTTATCATCAGGAACTTTCAATATTACAATTCAACATTTTTTTCTAAAAAATAACCTTTACCAATGAAACAGGATTGTTGATGAAGGTATGTTTAAGGGAATCAGCCTGACTTAGACCTATTTAAGATCAGATACATGCTCTTCCCCACCAGCTTGGTCACTTGTGTGGGGGTGTCACTTGAGCAGCAGCAGTTCCCAAAAATCCAACAAGCCCTGAAGCAAAGGGTCTGCAAGAAAAGGGAGTTTAATCTAATCAGAGACAGCATGACATAGATGCCCTCATGTGTGGATGAAGGCACTGAAGGAATACAGCGTTTCAAAGCAAAATGTTGTTGCTTAATAGAGGTAGCTGGAAGGATGAGCATTGCTCTTAAGCATGGAAAAATCTTGTTGCTCGTGGCACCTGCTGCGCATTGCCTGAGCACACAATGCACATGTGTGCACTGTGGGTGCTGCACCGGGCAGCTGCCACGCTCCTGAGTGTGAGTCAAGGTTCACTATGCCTGCTCAGACCAGGAGGGACAAGACTCAGACCACACCATGTTTTCCAAGGGCCATCACGATAGCAGAGGCACCACTGCATGAGTCGCTTCCTACATACCTGAGCCAAAATTCAAGCATACAAGTACATGGTGCTTTCCAAAAGCCACAAGACTATGATCAGCCTTTCTTGGCTTGCATGAACCTTGGTGCAGCTAAAGCAAAAACCAATTTAAAGCAACCAACAATCTGGCCACTTCATTTCTGAGGTATTGCTAAGTTAAAGAGAATTTGGATGTAGCAAAATCCTTGATCCCAAATGTCCCAATTTTAAGGAAAGCTTTAAGCCAAACATGTACTTTACAGCTAACTCCTGTCATCTTATAAGGTCAGACCAAAAGCTTGGCACTGAATGCCCTGCTCCACCTCTAACAGAGCACAAAACCAAAGACTTTTTTCTACAAGAAATGCTAATGCAATACAGAGGGTGTGATTTTAATTGCACTCTCCTTTGAAAGTGATGAAAATTTTACCAGCTCCAAGGATACATTTATTTGGCCACATACTCAAACCACTGCCAGTACACCAAGCTCTGCTGTCTTGAAGATCCAGGAATGTTAAATGCAATAATCATATGTTAAAGTTTGAAACTAAATGCAAAAGAGTCAGGAAATTCCAAAATTAAGTTATCTACCACAGCCGTAACTCAGCCCTGATAGATAGCTTTATTTTATCACTTGATTGCAGTTACAGATTTACGACTGAAGATGTGGCCAGGCAACAGTGTCAGTGGGAGGTTTTGCTAAGGAACATCCTGGATTTTGTGCATTTCTAATCTCACTCTTAACATGGCATTAATGTGTTTGCACTTAACAGCTCTATGCTTCAGGGTTTTCTTCCAGCATAACCTAGGCCAGAAATGATCTACGAGTGTTGCCAAAGGCCAGGACAACACTAACACAGCTGACAGAACACAGCTTCTCAAGCCAGTTCAAGGTATTCGAGCTCCATCGTGTGGAGTGTGCCTGCACATACCATCCGCCTTTCTAATAAGTCTCTTAAAAAAAAAAAATAAAGTAGCACAGAGACACTACAATCAAAGAAACCTTTGGCAGAAATAAGATTCAGACTGCTCCTTGCTGACGAGCAAAATGTAAACCTTGTGACAGGGCTGAGTTTGCTAGAGCCCTGGGACAGCAACACAGAAGGGCTGCGGCTCATTGCAGGGCACACCCCAGCCATGCTGGTTGTTAACAAGGATCGAGATGAGCTCACTGCAATACGATTAGACTCACTTCACACTGGCAATTGCTGCATTGATCATGGAAATATTATCAAATTAAATAGCTCACGAGTCTGTATGTTTTGTAACCTTTCTCATTCTGCTATTCTGCTTATTCTGGAGTTTTGAGATGCATGCCCTGACTCTGCCTGCTGCATACAGTGTGACCTCTTCTGGAAATCATTTTGCAGTTTGAGTTAAATGAGCGAGAAAATTTCACATCTGAATTATCCCATTTCTCACATCCTTTTAGGCTGTAGGCTCCACTTTGAAAGCACCTTTGTGTCAAATTTAGCCCAGAGGACCCTTATCTTGCTGGCTCCCTGGGATGTGCTCAAAGAGCTATATATAAAGCAAAAAACAACAACAAAAAAAGATCGTTCTGAGATAGGCAAAAGCTTGTGCATTTCTGGAAGCAAAGGCATGGATGGCCTCTGGGGTTCATAAAAGGTTTTGTGAAAGGGAGCATTTCTTGTCATGGAAACACATATACATTTATATTTATAGAATGTATATAAAACATACAGATCCTGTTTTCATTTTTTAAAATTAGAAAACTAGAATTCCTACAGGCCAGTGAAAAATATTTTGTTACAAGAAAGCAGAGCAGCTGTCATGGTGTGAAGGACTTGGTGAAGTGGGCAAGGAGAAATTTCTGACATCAGAGAACTCTTCAGCCAAGCAAAAAGTGTCCAAAGCTGCCAAGAGAGAGGCTCAAGCCAGAAATCAGACAATTTTTATTTTTTAATTGCTACTTCTGGTGACTTCTCTCTACCACTTCATTCCCAAATCAAGACCAAGAGACTATCCCACAAGGGCCAAAGCAGTGCAAAAATAACCTGTCAGCAGATGTTGGACTAACATTGTGCAGTCATATTAGCTAAGCACTGTAGCCTCTTCTGGCCCTACAAACAATTAGGGAACCTATTTATCTACATTACAGAAGATTACAAAAACCTCTTTGGCAGTTCTCCAAAATGACACCACTCTTTAATTGGAAGGCATTTACAAGAGATAAGGGTTGAAAAGAGAACTCCTACGGTCATGACTCAGCCCCGATCACCAATACAGGGATGTTGCACTCGCTGCACTTTGTCTCCCCCGAGCCCAGATCCCCACTTTGCGGTGTGTATTTGTTGGGTGACCTGGCTTAAAATGGATAGCACTTTTTTCCCCCTCCCTTTTCACTCTTGAAAATTAAGAGCTGCTAGACTGACATGTTATCAGACTGCAAACGCAATTGAAGATGTACGGGCAAAAAACACATGCCTTGAATCTGGGATGCAGGAAGGTCACCTCCTTTTCTGATGTCCTGAGCGTCTATCTTCTCCATCTGAAGGCACTGAAAAAAAAAAAAGCACTCGCCTGCCCTCTTCCCACCAAGACTTAACTTTGTTTATTCAGAGACAGGAGCAAGAGGACTGCAGGCACTCTGCACAGTTTACCTTTAGCGGTCGCCGTCTCTCCATCAGGGTGAGCCATGCGCTGCATAGCAGTCGCCGCAACGCAGACAGGCATGCTGATCTTCTGCCCCAAGACTGAGGTTGACAGGTCCATTACAGACACGTCCCTGAGCATCCGGGGGTACAGCTTCCATCTGACACAGAGAAACAGAATAAAACGTCTGCATCATTGAGGTTAGAGCTCCGAATGTCCAAGAGCAGATTTTCCTGTTATCAGAAGAAAAAATGGTGAAAGCTGGAGGGGAGGAAGCAGCACAAAGCAGCAGGGTGTTGGACCTCGAGCAGAGCTTCATTGTGTGACCCAGACACATAAAGGGAGCTGCAAAAGGCACAAAGCCAAGAAGAAACAGGCTAGAAGAGATTTAAAAAAAAAAAAACACAAAGCAATGGAGGGTGAAAGGAAGCAAAGATCCTTTGAAAAGCGTTGGCTGGAATTATTTAAAAGAAAAGACAGGAGCTGCAAAACAATGTTTACAGTGAATCTTAGCTTCTCTGAAAGCCCTGTGGCAGAACTAGATAACAGAGGATACGCAGGACTCAGATTAGATATTAGGAAAAACTTACCCTCAGAAAGAGTAATAATGCAATGAAACGGGCTCCCAGGGAGGTGGAGATGCCGCTGTCCCTGGAGGTGTTCAAGAACCATGGAGAAGTGGCACTGAAGGACATGGGTTAGCGGACATGGTAGTGATGATGGTTGGACAAAGTGACCTTAGAAGTCTTTTCCAACCTCAATGACTATAAGATTCTATAACAGAAGTCACCAGTTCCCCTTTCACCTCCCTCAGTCATTCCCTTAACAGACCAGGGAGCCAAAGGACACAATTTTTGGATAAAAGTAGCCTGACCAGTGCTCTCACACCACCTTGTCCCTATGCTAGAGGTCTCTGCATTGAGAGCACACAGAAACAATTTGCCGTGCCTCTTCCTGCAGAAAACAGATAAGCAGGAGCATGCCTTAGCTTAGCTGTATTCAGATGAGATAATTGGGGAAATTGGCTGCTCTACATTTCTATTGGCACCTTTTGCAATCCAGTAGCCCCCAGGAGGCCCCATCCCCAGCAGTTACAAGCTGTTGTGTGACACATACTTCACTGAAAAGTTACTGCAGGCCCAGGGATGGCCCACAAGGAGTTGAGACTTCCAGGAAAAGACCAAATGCAGGCACTATAATTTGGTACAGAAAAAGACTCTGTAGCACAATTGCTTTCCTGAGAGAGTAAATTATAATCTACTCCTTGAATGACTTGGCCTGAACCCACTCAACTGTTCCTGACCTCGCTTTGCTTCCAATGTATCCACCATAAACCACACCAACCCAGAGCCACCGCCATATTCTCCTTTGGGGCCTGCAGCTCAGATACAGACAGAAGCTGACTCCAAATAAGAACTAAAAAACACCCACCTGAAATTGCAATTAGGCTGAACATCACATCACACAAAAATCTACCTTTGCCTTCTGCCACCAACTGGACAACAATTCCTCTCAGAGCATCAGCTAGACGGCACTTCAGTATCTCAAACCATCTCAGTACGGATGCATTCATGGGGGGATAGCCATGAAATCAGACTTTTTCTTATCAGTGAGGTAATGTTGTAGCAAGGCATTGTTAGAATAATCTCCAAGGTGCGCATCAGCAGGTGCTAGCTCTCAGGGATTTGCTCCGAGCAAGGTGCAAAGGTTCTCTGCAAGCAGTAATACGCTCACTGTCTCAATGTCTTACTGATGCACCCTTCCCTCTGAAAGGGCTTTGAGTGCAGATTATGGCAATTGAGTTTTAATTAGAAGAAAATAATTAAAAGCTTAGGCTACTGCTGAACATGACTACCTAAAATGCCTGATGGAAACAGTACTGTCATTAGCAAGGAGATGGCAACCGGAGCCTTCGTTATCCTTAGGCTATGTTCCGTCTGTGAGCAGCAGTCAGCTTGAGCTTGCATACTAACCAGTCTGGTTGGGGTACAGGAAGAGAGGAAAAAAGGGGGAAAACAGACAACAGCTTCATATTACTGGAAGATCAAGAGAAATTTCCATAAGAAATCTGTGACAGAGTCAGGATGAGACCCAAATTTCTTAAGCCATGGAGCACGAGGCCATGCCAGTTCTCCAGAAAGCACTCTCCAGGGAGGAGAAAGATGGTTATGATGCTTGGAAGGGATGTAGTTGCGGGACTCGGCTGTAACATTTGATGCCAAGACACACACTGTAAGTATGCCTCCTTGGACTTGTTTTCATGCTATTGTGTCAGACTGTTATTTTTCAGGGGAAAATAAGCTGAGGGTGGGACAAAGAAAACATGACTTTTATCCCCCTTCTTCTTAATCCTCATTCCAAGAGCTTCCTTCTAGCACTGAGACTGATTTCCCCAGCAAATACAAAGAAAATACAAATCCTTTCATAACCTTGCTCATGTTTACAGGCCAGCTTAGAAGCATAAGGATGCAAAATGCCTTCTGCAGTCTCCTAGTTCTCAGCTGCTCCTGACCCATAGGATTTTTACCTGGTGCAAATGACTGCCACTTCCAGGCACACATTTGAGTATCAGTCCTGAAGCAGCAAAATTCCTTCAGTGCCTCTAGCTCAGAGAAGCAGAAAGAGACAAAATCTTCTATTTCCCCCCAGCAGAACATACAAGACTAACGATGCTGTTCGAAGCAGCAAACGCCCTCCTTTCTCACTCACTCTTAAATGTATCAAATAATTGTCCACCAGCTTTTTGGTGCCAGATTTGTTAAGCCCCAGCGTTTAAACAAATTTCTCTTCTGATCTCTTCTTTATTTAAAATAAACAAACAACATAAAAACAACACAGCTTTTCTCCTTGCATCTCACTAGGTTGTATGCTTTAGACCATTAACAAATTAGTCCTCCTAACTGAGCACTGTCTGGGTCTCGCAAAAACTGACGGGGTCACCACCTTGGCATTACACTCTTTGACAGAAGCAGCATCAGATTTTGCTTAACATAATTTTTTCAGCTGCAAGTTTACCAGGCATCTGAAGCGACCCTACTTTCTGGACAAACCATGGGGATATACCCTTAACAACAGTAAGCAAAAACAGGCACAGTACTTCCCAGTGTACAAGTGTAAATCTTGCAGTTGGGCAAGACTCACTTTCCATACTCATTCTCTGCTGTGAAGAACCACTGCAATTTTCAAAATGTAACATTTTCAAGCAACATCTCCCACTTTTCCAAATTCACAGTAAATCCCTTCAACAGAGCATCACTAGCAGAGTGCTTGGGAAAGGACACACTGCTCAGAGGAAGGCCCTGTCCCAGCCCCTACCTGCTTTGATAACCTTAACAAGAGGTTAAGGTCTCCTCCAGCTCCTACTTCCCAACTTCCCATCATAACAGACACATGCTATTGCTGCACAGGGCCAATGAACAGCTGCTTTTGCTCAAGGAACATATTTGCTCTTCTCAGATGTCTCATCATCCATATGGCAACTTTTTTCAGGGCACTCTGAATCTGAGGTGGAAGACATGGCAGAAACCACAAGAACTTATTACTAAAAGCATTCATTTCCTCTCTTCTCCCTGTGACCTGACACGCCTGTTTGATCCTAGTCAGATTTTCAGTCTCTATTTTTTTTAAAGGCCCGTGCCCAGCCATTTTAATACCCTTAACACCCAACTACATGATGACACGTTTGCAGGAAATATGCATCAATGCTAACACAGATAAACAAGAAACGATGTTCCTTGTACATGACAACAAAATGCATCTTCTCCAAACGCCACTGGGAAGTCAGTGGCAGAACCTGTCACAGCAGATTATTGGAAATGTGTTCCTAAACACACGCACTTCACTTTCATTAAAATGCTGAGAGATTTCAGATTGATTTCCTGAATGCCATCAAGCCAAAGGCAACTCACCCTTGTCTTGAAACGTACTCTTTATTCAGGCCCATTGGTTTCCTGACAATTTGAGAGCGAATTTAATCACCAGACAGAGCAGTGTTGGAAGGACACATGGTGTTTTGGAATGCAGAACAAACACAAGGTGAATCAAGACAGATGCCATAGGGAGTAATGTATGCTCTCATGCCCTAAATAATTGTCCCTATCCTTAATGCCTCATTTGTGCAACTGATGTCTCCACTTCATATGAAAACTGAAAGAAAAACTGATCTGGCTCTAAGCAGGAAAATGCTGATGTCGAGATGCAAGCACTGGTTCTTCACATCAGCATCAATCTCAGATAAACTGGAAGCCAGAGGAGAGTTGCTGTAATTCTCATTAGTCTCATCTTAAGCCTTGGTCCTTTGGGGGCACTTTATACTGCAGTATCTGATTACAGGTCCAAAGTACTTTAAGCTCCTGTGCTGTCGAGAGGACAGGACATTTGATTTTATCAGCAAATGGATATGACCTGCACTGTTCCAAAAACTGCATGAGCCGTTCCAAAGGTACTGCATTATCTATTGACACAACCATTCATTTGCTACATTGCTCCAGAATGATAATCTATTTCTCTTGTAAGTGCAACCATTACACTGCCAAAAAATTAAGAGCTCAAAATTAACAGATATTTTTTCTATATGCCAGCCAACTAAATAACCTTGCAGTGCACACCACAAACGTCTGGGCTACAAAATTCACACTATGGGTTCTATTTTATTCTTTTTTCTTTTTCATTTAAATACAAACATTTACACATATAAATATTCAAAGACATTCTAAACATATTTAATTGGGGTGAACCCTATGTTCTGAAAAAGCACACGATTAAGCTCTTGACTGGAGAAACCAATGAGAGTTGTCTGATCATTGATAGCAAAGCTCTACATATGCACTTCTTTCACAAAGTTGTCTGACTTCGTGATTGTTGTGGGTGTAAAGTCCATCTTGCTTAATACTTACCCATCAGCTGCACTCAGGAATAGGGAGATAATGAATAACACATTCAAAAACACGAAGACTGAGATTCAAGGACTAACCCCACAACAGCAGTCCCACATTCTTGCCATGGTTAGGACATGCCCCTCTCAACATCACCATGATAAAAATAAAGGTTTTTTGAAGTTGCTTATGCCAAAGTTAAGTCCTAAAACACAGAATAATCACAAATCCATATACAAGGTTTGCCTTTCTAGATATGCTGCCAGGAAGCCATCAGACACGCGGATGTTGCACTCAACAGTTCTAGACACAAGGGCTAATAAATGAAATCCCACCACAACAAGAGGTGCCTCAGCAGCTACAGGTGGGGACTGCTTAAGAATGAAGATCCAGGCCCTGGAAATCTGTGCTCAAATGATTCTGAAGTTCCACATCCCATTGGAATAGGTGGGAGGGTTCACCTTTGCAAAAAGGAAGGACCACCTGGCAGACAACTTCAATTACGATGCTCTTTCTTGTAAGGAAGCTCTGTGCTAGTGCTGTAGGTGTCAGAAACCAGGGGACAATGTACCTTATGCCAGGGACTGGGTTTTGGACTCCAATCCCAGCTCTCCCACTGCTTTATTGGGTGACCTTCAACAGCTCTGGCTGCCTTCCTTCCTTCCAGGCACCCTTGAACCGATGCTTTGGCAGTTGAGCAGCAGCAGAAATTCAGGGAATGGGGAACCAGGGCAACACAAAGCGACTGGGTATCAGTTTTGACACTCCTCCACCAAACGTTGCTTTACTCCAGGTTGAACCCAGCATTTATAGAACAAAGGAGTGAGTTTGGTTTTGGACAACAGGACAGGGAACAGAGCTACAGACTGCAAGTCAAAACCAGTTTTATAACAGTTCCCATCACATACAATATTTCATGGTTAAGTGCTGACCACGGCTGAAATCTGAACGCAGCTCAGGCACACGGTACTGAGCACTGGCCTTCACACCTTGCTCCTGAGCGCACTGCTAGGATGCACAGCTCCAGTTCAGCAATACTGCACAGACATTTAGTGGGGGAGGCCACTAAATTACTAAATTACTACAGTAATTCAATTTAGGAGGAACAGTTCAGTTCAGTCAGACCTAAAAGGTACAGTAAAACAAGAAATCTTTTGTCTGTACAACAGCTTAAAATATAGAAGCAACAACAATTTAATCAACTTTTACTAAATATTTGTTCCACCCAGACATTTTGCTTCCCTAAACAAAACAAACAAAATGCAGGTAAAGCCAAAAGCATGCTAATGAATCTTAGGGAGTGCTCTGATGGAAAATTGTAGCTGGGGGAAAGAAAGGGTGGAACGGATGTTCTGAGAAGGATTTCATTGAGTTTTCTTCCTAAAATTTATAGAAGTTTCAGAAAATATAAGTTTTGTTAGCACAAAATCTAACATTGTACCACATCTGCTAATAATGCAAACAGATACACACACTCTACAACCTTAAATCATTCTCCTACCTTGAAAATGCTGCTACATTATCTGCTAATGTTTCTTGGTCATCTGCTCCAGATCGGTAATAATCATAAACTGATTTGGGGAGAAATGTTTTAGCATAATGTTCAAAATCAGCAACACAAACTGGCTTTCCAGACATGTCTGCAGATCTCACAGGATAAGTTTATTCCCACTTACCTCTCTTTTAAACTCTGTATTTCTGTCTGTAAATCATTAATAAGGGATTTCATCAAGATTTGACTTTCTTATCTACGCACACAAAATATACACCTGCTTCTTGTGTCACCCTGGACTTCAACACCATGCTTCATTTCACATGGTCAAGGCAAATGCAGAATATACTGGAATACAATATGGCGAAAAAGAACAGAAGTGAATAATCAAAGAAATATATGGGTGTGATATGTATGACTTAGACCTTAAGTAAGGGATGTACCATTCCAATTTTACACCAAAAAATACCCTGGTGACAGAGAAAAAAGGTATCATATAAATCCAAAAAGCAAAGTTCTGCTTTAATTGACTTAGGAATGCGGGTCCAGGCCTGGACTGGCGTTTATAACCCTTAAGACCGTTGCCAGTTATTTACATCGAAACTGTGGATTTGGAATCAAGTTGCAGGGACACAGCTGCCAACCAGCTAGGACAGCTACTGCATCCTCATGCAAACGGCAACTGCTTTTTAATGTAATTCCACCTCCATAGCCCAGAAAGCTGTAGCTATTCTTAGAACATTATGAAGTCAGATACTTACTGGCTCAAAATAAAGTTATCTGACCACGAGCTCATACTCAACCAAAAAGTAACAGATCAAGATTTCTTGATTTAACAAATACACATACTTCATTTGCAACAGGTGTACAGTAGTTGTTGGACAGGGAGAATTTACAGTGGGTCATGCGTACGTATAATGCAGCTTTGCACTCTTCAGTCTTTTTTTTCCTTTTTCTTTTTTTTTTTAAATAAGATTTTTGGACAGAACAGACAAATCAATCCCTTAAATGGAAACATTCTGCAATGCACACTGTAAGACGTGACAGAACTTGGCGGTGTGCACTGCAGTCACCCCAGCCCAGCACACACCTCTGTCACCATGCACAGTGCAAACCAACCAGGGGGCTGCCATTTGTTCATCATTAGTTACTTACAGTGCAACACAACAAAGAAATGTAGTGCAACAGAAGTACATCTGCAGCTTACTTCCTCCAACAACACGTGGCTTTAAGTGACTTGATGTTAGCTAAATCTTCAGTCTTGCTGAAGGCATCTAGTTAAACACAGACAAACCTCTGCTAAACCACAACCTTCATCTCTGCTGCTGGTTTATAAATAACAGGTAGGAACACAGTATGCTGCAAAGACTGAGAGAAGTGCTTAAGATTCAGATGAGACTGCCAAGCATCTTTGGGGGAATATTTCAGGGACTGCAGCAGGATGGCGCCAACTGGACGGTCAGGTTCGAGAATTGTCTAAAGAGAACGAGGCTGTCGCCTAAGAAATTTGCAGCCATTTCAAAATGCTTCTGCAGATCTCAGGGCCTCTTGGCTTAAAACATTCAAGGTGTGCAGGGGGTTCTTTTTCCCAGCCATTTAGAATATTCACGGAAGAAATTAGTATGAATGATTGTCAATATGCATAGTCACATCATCAGGCATTCATCACACATCCACAACGAATACAATTTAAATGCAAACTGGCTTACAATGACGTTTCTCTGTGCTCCCAGCACAAAACCTGGGGATATGTCTGCCTTTCTCACAGTCTGCATTATCTGTGCTGAAAATCAGGTATTTGTTCTAGAGCATAAAACCTTAAGCACTGCACAATAGTTAAATGTATTAATACATTGCTGAATCCAGTTGCACATAATTATGATGGAAGTATGCACAAGAACTACGGATCAGACCTACACAATTTTGCTCTTGATCTTCCCCCTACACTTTTCCATCTACTTCAAAACGAGTTGAGCTCTTCGTAACACTTCCCACATCAATCTTTCTCTCCGTTCATGTTGATACGCCATCTTCACATGACTTTACCGATCATTATTTACCAATCATGCTAAAAGTTCCTCTTCCCTCCCTTATCACTAAGTTGCTCACATATCATGCCTTATGGATCCCCCAAGAAAATGCCAAGCATGCTAAAGCACTGTGACTTCTTGCTGCAGCCCAGACAGCACCCCCTGGGAAGCTACAGCCCTCGGCACACCAGGAGCCAGGGATGCTTCTGCTCCAACAGACAGCTCTTCCTGCTGCTGGCCAGTTCATGAATTGAAGTGTGGAGGAAATTGCTACTATCACCACAAAAGAAAAATTATGCTAAAAGCTTAATCTGCTGCTAAGTTGCAACCATAGCCTCTTTCTCACCGCACGAACATAATCTGTTAAGACAGCACTGCAAGTATCTCTCCAGCATATCTGACAGCAATGTACAGACCAGCTTTGACAAAACCTCCTTCCAAGCAATTGACTCCCTATTTAATGCATCTATCTGGTTTACTGCCTCTTAAAATGAGGAATGTCCTCTGTCTGTTTAATGAGACATCAGCTGTCTTAACCTGAACCTTGGAGCAAAAGAGCATCTTCTGTAACAGCAAGGAGTTTGCCAAGGTAATCAAGGCAAGCATCCCTGGTAAAAGCCAGCGTGCAAATGAAATGCTCAGATGTGATTTTATTTCCCCTCTGACCTACTCATGACCAGTGTGGCAGTAACAGCCTCTCCCATATCTACTGTTTTCTCATGTGTTCCCTTCACAGGTCACTAGAGAATTACTGAGGTAAAATAGCATCACGCACTCTGCCAGAACCTCTTTTCCCTCAAGTTAATTACATCCACCTATCTATCACAAACTCAGGAAGGAAAACCCACAGAGGGCTGCAAAAGATAAAGATATGACTTAGAAGCCAAACAAGTGTTTTACTAAATATTGCTACACATTAGTGTTTACGTGTTGTATTTGACAAACAGAAGAACAGAACAACATGAAATTTTAGCCAGAATCGCTGTATTCCTATTGCAGGATTGGAGAAACAACATTGGTTATCTCTTGTGAAGCAGCAACAAGTCCACTGAGAAAGAATGAGTCAACTGGGATTTTCTCTCTTCACGAAAGTTTAATGGGAAAAGTTAACTGCAGTATATAATTAAGCTATTTCAAGGTACCAGAGACTACTGAAGTGTTTCTCAAGAGCGCTGTGGAAAGCTGTTTTATCAAGTAACTTTTTACATAATTAAAAGGCTGTTTTGACTTTCAAATTCCCCATGAACATTCTTGAATTTTCTCCAAACAAAAGCAGAAAGCATGTCTTGATGGACTCTGACAATGCCGCATGAATGGTTTTCAGTATCTCCTCAATCAGAGCTGAAGGAATTGATCTTGGCCCCTCCAAGTCACTCACAAGGTTCAACAGAAAATATTTTACTCCAGCAATTTGTGACTTCAGCATGAGACTGAACCAAAGGCAGTGGATGTAGTGCATGAATGAGGACAGTTTCTTGCCATTTGGCACAGCAGCAGGCAAGTGGCCCTGGAGAGCCCCAAGGAACATCTGCTTTGAGAAGTCACTTGGGAAGTCCAGGACTACTGGAGTGGAAGGAACCTGGAGCATCAATTACACAAATAGTTCTCCTTGGAGGAACTATAAAAGTGGGTACTAAGAAAACAATCCAGGGGAGATGTACAAAAAGGTGTGCAGCACCAGTTTTGGCCTTGCAGCTGCACAGCAAAATCCACAGTTCTGAGAAACCCTTGCAGGGCTGGAGGGGTGGCTTTCAACGATGTTGTGTAAAACTCACAGGCTTGACCAAAGAATCACAGAACTGCAGAGGTTGAAGGGACCTCTAGAGATCATCTAGTCCAACCCCTATGTCAAAACAGGTTCCCTACAGCAGGCTGCACAGGTAGGCATTCAGATGGGTCTTGAACATCTCCAGAGAAGGAAACTCTACAACAGCCCTGGGAAACCTGTTTCAGTGCTCCATCACCCTCACTGTGAAGAAGTTCTTACATTTGTGCGGAACTTCCTATGCTCCAATTTATGGCCGCTTCCCTTGGCACAGAGCTTGTGCTCTATGCAATATAGGGAGGGACAAATCTAAACCTTGAATTAGACATCAATATTATCAGACACCACTAAGTCAGAGACTTGACCTTCCATCACTTTGACTTCTATTGTGCATCTTGCACAGCAAAGCTCGGTATGGGCTGTAAGACTTCCTTTCAGCCAGAAACTCAGTACACCGAACTAAGTCATTTACTACCCAGGAATGAATCAGGGACCAGACTTCTTAATTTACATCTTACATTTCCAAATTGGATAAAAGGCAGCTTATTCCTGAGAAGAGTTGCAAAAGCATCACAAAGGATGCTTCCTCCTGGGCAGCTCTTTGCAGCCAAATGCTCAGGTGTTCAATGAATGTGTATGCTTTGTGTGGGGGTGTATTTAATGCTTGGGAAAGGGAGGAAACCCATTTCCTTCCCACTGGCACACTGCAGCCAAGAGACCACCCGCAAAGACACTGGCTGCAGCCATCCAGCTTTTCATTTTGAATGTGTGCTCAGCCCCTCAAGAGAAAAACGTACTACTCAACATCACTACTTCCAGACTTGGGAGCCAACCCAATTCGGTGTTGTTCACTGGCTGCAAAGAATGGGAGGCTGACAAATCAAGTCAAAAAGTCAAGACTACTGCAGTTGTGCTATAAGGAAGCTAGCGCCATGTTTCCTCTATAGAAACAGAGCTTAAAAGTAATTTTCAGAACTTGACTGGATTTTCACCTGTAGTATTGCACCTGTTCATTTTTATAGGGACAATTTCAAGCTCTCACATAATGAGACAGGAGCAGCTAATTTAGTAGAAAACAAAGTAAACCTTTGTTCGAAACCACTCCCCTTAGAATTCACATCAAGAAATTGGTACAGTGGCAAATAAAAAGAGACCTGCACATCACCCAACCCGTGCAGCAATTCCACTCCATGCTGAAAGGCAGTTCAGGAAACTCAACGTCTTGAGAATGAACTTGAGTGCATTCTGGATCTTGTAGTTGTTCACATCGACACATACACTGACACACGATTCCTGGCAGTCACAAAACACCACTTCTGCCTCCAGCATGCCGGCCTTGAGGCCTATTTCTTCAGCAATGGCTGCTCCCTGTGAGCTCTGGAAAGAGGAACCA